GAAATCTTTTCTTGTGGACACTGAGAATGGTTTTCTTGCTACAACAGTACAAGAACAGTTAGCTCTTAGTTTAAAAAAAGAAATCTTTCCTTGTGGACAGAATGGTTTTCTTGCTACAAGAACAGTTAGCTCTTAGTTCAAGAAATCTTTTCTTGTGGAAAGAATGGTTCTTGCTACAAGAACAGTTAGCTCTTAGTTCAAGAAATCTTTTCTTGTGTACAGACTGGCTTTCTTGCTACAAGAAGAGTTAGCTCTTACTTAGTTCAAGAAATCTTTTCCCAGTGGAAGAATATTTTTCTTCTCTGAAGAAAAACAAGATTGGAATTTTTGGTAGTGTATACAAGAGTGGTTTAGTTGCATTAGAAATAATTCTAAGCTGTCTTTTCTTAACAAATTGAAAAACTGTTATGAACAATACACATACCATAATGATATAGATAACTTTGAAATTCGTGAAGTAATAACTCAATTTAGAATCAGTAGTCATAAATTGAATATTGAAACAGGTAGATATTACAATGTAGCCCCTGACCAAAGGTTCTGTCAATTTCGTCCAAAGCATATAGAAAATGAATTTCATTTTGTTATGGAATGTACCAAATATAATGTTTTACGTAACAAGCTATTTACATTTTTCGAATCAAGTACAACAGATTTCAATAGTCTCGATGTTGGAGACAGATTTGAATACATCTTTACATGTAATGGTTCCCACAACGCAAAAATGGGTACATATATATATAGGACTGCTTTGTTATTAGAAAAAATACCGAAACTTGTGATTAGCCCACTCTCGCTAGCCCTTATTGTTTCAGTAATTAAGATATGTAAGGTTTTTATACGACATCAGGTCTTATTCAACACATTTATTGTTTGTTACTTTCTTTATGTAGTTTGCCATACATTGTACCATGAGCAATTGTCGTGCAATAAAGTTCTTCTGTAACAATATTCAATTTGCGCCACCTACAGCTAGTACAAGCACACAAATGGAAACCAGACCTTTTCCAACCAGTCTTGAGTCAGCTGGAGGGAACCCAGTCGTTCCTGACCAGATGCTGTCAACATAATGTCGCAAACCGTGTACTGACAAGGATCGTTGCGTCCCAGATCTTTGACTTGCACCCACCTGTTACGCACCACGAGCCAACACAAAAGAACGTATAACATCTACCCCCCCCCCCCACCTGTTCCTCAGTAACGCTCGATCACTGAGCAGCAAACTAGAGGAATTCGAACTACGTCTTCATGATCTACACACCGGTATTGCCATTGTTTCTGAGACATCATCATCATCATTTCATGCCTAGATTATGCTTTAAGGAGCTCGATTTCAGACACTGATGGTTTTACACTCTGCCATCGTCGCAGTAGTCGCTACTCCGCTGAAGTCCTTGCTGACATCGACTTCGCGGACGACATTGCCCTTTTAGAAAACACACTTCTTTTTGCTCAAAATTTGTTAAACAAAGTAGAGGCGGCATGCCAGGCCATAGGCCTATATCTCAATCCATCCAAAACAAAGTATATGCATTTGAACCCAACATTGTCCCAGCAACTTACTGCATCTGATGGCTCTGAAATCGAGCTAGTGTCTGAGACATGGTTCCGTGAAACTTCGCCTGCTGTAGTGACCGACATCCAAGGCTATACATCCCTTCGAGTGCCCGTCCGTTCTCGACATCCCTTCGAGTGCCCGTGTCGAGTGCCCTGGACATTCCCGTCCTTGGAGTTGGAATGCATCAGGGTGAAGATACGATCCCATCGTCTCCCAAGGAACGTATCCTGTCTAGCAGTGTGTGCTGCCTACTCACCTCCAGACTTTCCCCACAGTGAGCGACCACTTGGTGAACGCTATCGACTCGTGAACACTAGTGAAATACCACACATAGGGATACTTATGGGCGGTGATTTCAATCGCATTGATGTCAGCAGACAATCTCCGGCAACTTGTTGACCGTCCTACAAGGGTCCAAGCTATTCTTGATCTCATCATAACCAACTCTTCAACGCCGATTTCATCTAATCCCCTTGCCACAATACTGTCATCATGCAAGCAAAAAGTACACCTGTGGTGAATAAGATGATCAAACGAGTCTGTACACCCTTCCCTAACTCACGTGTTCGCCACTTCGGACAGTGGATCACGTCCCATGACTGGTCGGGAGTTTCCTCAGCCCTCACACAGCCGAGAAGTCCCGGGCTTTCTACAGTACACGGCAAGCCATGATGCATCATTTCTTTCCTATAGAGCCTACACTACCTCGACAAGCCATGGATCATACCTGCAATAAAAGTATGATTTTCATGTGCATAATGGTCAAAGCTACAAGCGTACGTTTGCACAAATCGATATCTACTAATTACCCGTAGTCATTAGAGAATAACTAGATTGTAATTAGGCTATTAGGTCATTCTCTGATAACTACAGGTAATTAGTAGATATCAATTTGTGCAAACGTATGTTTGTAGCTTTGACCATTATGCACATGAAAATCATACTTTTATTGCAGTATTAAATTTATACCAAAGTGCTGTATTATAGCTTTAAAGATAATTATATTTGGGGCAATAAAATGTGATGACGTCATCCATATGGACCATAAAATCATATTCATAACCATTTTGTACCCAGGTATCAATATTCAGCACAACTACAGTTCTTTCTCAATTTCTTTGTGACAAAACGATGAAAAGTTTAAATTGCCAAATTAGCCAGTGAGGACCTTAACCCTATTACAGCCCAGCACCCAATCAGCAAGATTACAACCGCCCAACGATCTCGAAAGCTGCATGCCTATTGGCTGTTGCTCTGCATTCCTTTCTGCTGAGTCATACCTTCACTATACAGTAAATTCAGCATTGAAAACAGTCAAACGTCTCAAATTATACAATTTCAAATGGGTGCATGGCAAAATTATGATGAATTGTTGTTGGCAGCTATATAAAGCACACTCATACCAAATTTCAGATCATTTGGGTGTAATACCAGGTCCCCAAGAATCAAAATGTACAGATTTTGTCGAAAAATGACAGTAAAACCAAAATAAGACATATTTCAAATGCCTGTTCAAAAAAAAGAAAAGTGAAAAAAAGTGTCTTGGGGTATTTGCCCACTCTACCTCCATGCCAAATTTCCAGCTCAAATTTCAGGTCATTTGGCTGAAAAATGGTAGAGTTGAATCCATTTGAAGAAATGCCAGGAGGAGAAAAAGAAACATGAGGGACACAAAACAATATGTTTCACCACAACACGAATGGAGCCATAAAAACACCACTGATGTTCTCTATGTACATATACAATGTACTATGTAATTCAATTCATAGAATGAAAAGGAAAAATACAATATTTCAGTCAGTTGTTCTCATTTCTTTTTTTAAAACCAATCCTACACTGTATAATAAAGAAAAAGTTATTTTAACACTCCAACACAGATTTTTACAAATTAAACATACTGGCATTAATGATTAACAGCATTCAAAGTACTTTCAATGTACTAAGGATGCTTGAGAACATTTCAATGCACCGCCTCAGAAAGTAAAATAAAATTATTTCCTTGGAATCAGCAAAAGTAGCTGATCTAACGATGTATACATAGCTAGAAAACAATGCTGGATGATTATGGTACATGTAGGCCACACAAACCTGGATGACATCTGCATGAATCAATTTCCCTCTATTTCCAAACAAAGTTTGCAACCATAGAGCTACTGTTTCTTTAGGTATTTTAATGATGACAGTTTATTGAGTCATGCCTATCACTATTGACTATTTTCAGGAACTGTTTTATTTTAGTGTTATTGGTTTCATGTCATCTAAGTCCAAGTAATTTGTGGTCGTAGTCTGTTAAAAGTAAATTTCCCTGTACATGTATCTTGTTCAGGCCATGTTGATTTGATTATATGGATGACATCCTCGGGAACCCCAAAACTGATGCGAGCATGCAAATAAAAGAAAAGTTTAAAGAAGTTGTTATCATTATGAAATCTATGTGGTCATGAAGGTTGAATAAGTATGGTATGGCGAATAATGTACTCTTCAAATTCATTTCTTTACATTTTCGTCTTTTTTGTTAGACTTTGGCATTCTACAGCATTGGTATCGTTTTCAAATATTTATTTTTGCAACTTACGGTATATATTAGCTCACTATCCAACTGTTTTGTATGATTTACAGTACTAGTATGGTTGAAAATTTTTTTTTGGAAACGACTGAAAATTCATGCGCGCACGGATGTCTTCCATATAATCAAATCAACATGACCTTGCATGTCGGCTATTCCGAGATCAGGGTGCGCCAATGACATTGTGCATCGTTATGTTATTCTTACTCTGTATTTATCGCATTCTGTTGACAATTATCAAACTTGTTATACTAATACAGTTATTTTCCAGACAATCAGGAAGAGATTTGGTGTTAAGATGTTCAAAACTTATGCTATGGCCAATTTAAGACCAGAAATTGGCATAAAATCTATGTTATGCTGTTGCACTTGAATAATGCCAGTTTTTGAAATAAGTTTTTAAGTCCTTTGGGCCCCAAAAAATGGAATAAAAAGATCTGCAATACGTTCAGACATGCTCAGTCTGATATGTTTTGAAAAAAACCTGATGATGATTGGAAATTTCTCTTTTCTAGAGCGCATTTATCAATATGTTGTACACGTTATGTAAAAGTCATAAATTAACACATTGCAATTAACTTATCTCCCTGTACTAAAAAGGATGGTGATAGAATTGGCCATTTTGCATGTTATGCAAGCTACATCCATATATGACATAAAACGTGTTTTTATGTTGTTTGTCCTTTGGGTTAATATGGCTGATGGCTTACAGTTACCTGTCGTTTTTGTCCGAGAAATTGTGTAGTGTCCGTTGCTCGGTAATAGCTTAAAATAGAAAAGCTGTGGGTGCATATGATTTCAGGTTTTGAAACAGCTGAAGATGCTGACTTAAAACACAGTAGCTATTCAGTCTATTGCTGTAATTATATGAAATAATGTAAAAAAAAACTCAAGTGTGTAGTATCCGTTGCCATGTAGTGTCCGTTGCCAAGTAATTTTGTATTTATGTTATTTCTGTAGCATTTTGTCCATCCCTAAATGACAGGTCTCGCGAGATTTGGTGTTCTTGTCATGTACTTGAGCTGTAGTGTCCGTTGCCTGCCAAATCTGAAATGAGTATGCCAAGTTTGGAAGAGCACAACTTTTGAACCAAACATTTAAAAAGTGCAATGTATGCCAACACTTCTAGTGCGATTTTCTGCACTAAAAGAAGTAGAAAAATATAAAACTTGAATAATTGGCCCAAGTGCAACCATTTGGCGCACCCTGATCTTGGAATAGCCGCAGAATGACAAGACAAAAATATCAAACATAGCGGAATACTATCATTTACAGGAAAAGCTTCTTGAAAGAAACAATATCATAATTAATAAAACAGGAGATATTAGGGCTAAGTGCACAGAGCATGTTTACAGTTTGCCAACATAATGTGCACACATACATGTACATGTATTATGTACTAGTATTCCTTTTGACAATGTGTTATATGTTGAATTATGATGACTCACTCTGTACAAAAGTACTATCATTAGTATAACTGCACAACAAGAGATAATCTCTGCCCACTAAGTGAACAATCTACATGTATAAATTGGTTAAACATCCAGCATTGTTTGGTGTACGTTAGTCTCTTACATAGTATATAATGTTAACATTAGGTTATAGCTGTATCTGCATTTGAAATACGTCATGTCTTCAATTTATACAGTTTTGTAGTTCTAGGCACTTGCGGTTCCTACTCAACCTCAAGTTCATAGGACTCAATTTCATTGAATTTGGCAGTCATGTGAGCTGCCCATTCTTCCATCTCTGCTTTCTGTAGGGACAGATAAAACAATTGTGAGTGGGTTATCAACCTAATTTTCACTATATATCATTACAACAATTTGAGTTTGGGTCTTGTTCTATCTATACTTTGCATACATGCAAACAAGACAGGCAATAAAAGATATTGCCATGGTGATGATTGAATGTTTACTAGTATTATATGTGGTGTTCATGTACAAAATCATACTATTACAGGGGTTTGTTTTGCTGAGTCATGTTGCCCAATCTGCATGTAAATGATTCTTTTGTTTAGGTAACTGCACATGCTGTCTTTCAACCACCTCCAGATATCAAATTAATTCATTGATGACTAAGTCTTGTTTGAAACAGAAACAGTTTCCACACATTTCTGTCTCAGGGACTTTTCAAACATGGTCGTGCCGAGGAATTATGGGTATTTAAAGTTAGTAAAGTACATTTCCCCCTTTTTGGTGTAAATTGAGTAGTCAATAATTAAATTAAAAACAAGAGGTCGGCAATCTCATACCTCCATGACATGTTTAGTGCTTTTGTATCTTTAATGCATGGTGATGACCACCTGTAAATGGCTTTGATTTACAATCTTACTCATTAGCAAAACTCTTGCAATTATTCGCAGATATTATATCAGTTGATCATATTCTCCACCCAATGACAGGATTATCTTAAGGAATAAAGCGTCTTAGCCATTCTAGCTTAACCTCATAAATTATGCAAATGAGGTCCTGATCTGAATAAATAATATTTAGTGATGTTTACGTTCACTGAACTTCAAATTTTGGCAAGTATTAAGGTCTCAGACCGGAGTTTTTTTCACGATTTTGGATCCGACGGACAGACTCAGACCAAAAGGCTACAACTCCGCCAAGAAAAGTACGCCGGGAAATCTCATTATATCAGTCAACGGAGGATTCCAGCCGGCTTCCGATAGAATTTTGGTTATTGTCTGTTGACTCTATAATTTGGGTAGAAACTGTAGTTAAACGTAATTTTGGATATTAAAAATATAGTTTTTTTTGCAGTTTTTTCAACAGACCTTCATTGGTTTCCTTGGTTGCGTATCGATTTCGGTTTTTCGATTGAAAATTTACTATTGTTAAACAGTGGGCAAAGCACCGCTGTAAATTCACGTGCACAAACTTGCACACGCACCAGTTTAAGTTGTTGAAAGCCCTGCTACAGTACTCACCGTCTTCTTGAGGTTTTTTCTCCTTCTTTTCTTTTCTTTCTCTGGCTCTATCGGTATATCGTTCATCCCAGGTGGCATCTTTCTCTTCTGTGGGGAGACCAGATTGGAGGAAATTGAGGAAGACGGAGAGGTGACTGTGGATGACGGTGACCTCTCCAGCCTTTGGTCTGTTGTGTTTGCAGAGGCTTTTGGCTTCTTGAAAACTTCAGTAGATTCTTCAACTGGCGCACAGGGAGATGAAGGTGTGGTTTGTAGTGAGGATGAAGCTATGGTCAGACTAGAGGCTTTATGGGAGTGTGCTAACTGTCGCATGTTTTGCCTTTGTTTAGGCGACACAGACAGTGTCAGGTTGTGCTCGAAAGATGGCGACAACTTTGAAGGAGACATACCAGACGCATCCGACACAGTTGACAATGGCATCGGCTTTGCAATGTTCTCTCTCTGTGGTCTGACATTTACCAAAGGTGAGACCTCCTTGACAGGAGAGACCACTAGCTCAATGGGGGTGACGCAGGGAAGATCTTCCATGGTGCCAAACCCGAAAGCTGAATCGTCCATGAAACTACACGAGGCAGATCCTCTGGCATCCATGCTGGGCGTGGAAGTGTCGGACGCGTTAAGAGGTTTTATTCCGACCAATGGAGGTGAAATGGTTGAATTGTATGCTTCCTTCATTGTCAACACATGCTTGGAGAAAGGGGTATTTCCTTTGGATTTATTTACTGCTCTTTTTGGCCTGGATTTTGCTGGAGGATCTGTTTGAACGGAGCACCTAAGAGTGAAGACTTCCTCTTGTGGGGTGCTGCCTGGTGACAATATGCCAGCTGCTGGTGTCTTCTGTACTGCAGCTCTTGTTTTCTTCCTTGGCTTTTGTTGTCGCTTCATCTTTCTCCTGGATGAGCTTGAAGAGTCAGTCTCAGAGGAGTGATTCATAGAATGTTGATGACTTTTCATCTCCACGTCATGACGGGGAGGTGCAGATGTGGCTTCTGATTGGCTGGCTGACTCACTTCCTGTGTTCTCCCAGTCTCCATCATAACAATCCGCAGGCTCTCTACTAGAAGACTTGTCTGGCTTGACCTGGGAATGACAGGAGTGGAAGGTTTTACTTTCTCCATGCTGACTAGGCTACTAGTAGTTAAATTCTCAAGCAAACTTACATTGGTTATGGCAAGATTACCATTTAAGAAATACATCATGTATCATCAACATGGCTGCATAAATCCTGATCCAGGCACAGTTAGCGGCATGCCACCCAACTTCGTGTTCCACACGTTGTTGTTCTGTTTGGAATATGGATGTGTGTCACTCGACTGTGGAAATTAAACACTGATCGCAGCTAACTCTTTTATATGTTGAACCGATATATAGCTTATGAACACTAGTGTGTATGTTGCTGACATTTACTTCACAGCTTCACTGTCATTTTTTTTCTATTTTTTAATCTTTTCTGTTTTCTAACTGGTTATACTGGTCTATCTTGTAAATAAGTTTGTTTACTTTGTTACTGTTAGCTGTAAATGCTGTGTGTGACTCGAAAAAATGTAGTAGCAATTACTAATACTATTTCTAGCAATATTCTATATCTTTACTGCTTGTTGTTTGTTGAACCAGTAGTTTGAAATATTCTTCTGCAGAGGATTGACAGATGTAAATCCATAAAATCTATTTGCTGTGGCCTTAATATGCACAGGATGGCTACTCTGTTTTTTCTCTCGCCGTCCTGCAAAAATCTGAGAACATTAACAATGAATCAAACTGATGTGGCCTTTGGACCCAGTCAGAAGAATGTTCAAAATATAAGAGCAGGAAACTTAATGTTAATACTAACCCTGCACGTCTTGGACGGACTGGTGATGATATCTGTCAGTTTGGATGGATCCGTCTCTTCAGATGAGGAGTTTCCACGGGGTTCTTCAAATCAAAGAAAGAGATACGTCGGTGAAGGTTGGACATCCAGGTAATAACATATGTAATGGAGCAACAACCACAGACAGCTTCTGACCTTCAGACCTATTTGTGAAGGTAGGTTATTCCATAATATGTGTACTAATTTGTGTAGAGAAAGCACTTCTCTAGGTAAGAGGTGCATCATGGATGGAGTGCCCCATGACTAGAAAGCCACACTTACCTAACGTTACAGTCGATTTGGAAGACATGATCCACTTTGTCTCATGATCTAACGTGTTTGATGCGTGTTTGATAATGATAATCAGCTGTAATTTGTAATCGGCGGCGAAAATCTTGCGTAATTCGTAACCACTAAATACCCCCCCCCACACACACACACACTGCAGCCTTTCTTGTCTGCCTTACCTTTTGTCACCGTTTTCTTGCGGCTAGCTCGGGTCTTTATCCTTGAACTTCTCTTCGGTGGCATTTTCATCTATTTCACGAACAACTCGAAAGCAATACCCTTACTCGCAAGTAACACTCCACATCAATTATTTCTGCACAAAATGTTTCTGTGTTCAGACAGGAAAAGACGGTTCAAAAAATGGCGCTGCAGTGGCGCGGGGTAAGAAGGCATCACAATCGCCAAATAAAAAGGAATAATAAGACTGACATTGAAAACATTTCATGCAATAATGTACATTAAAAAACACAAATATTTAGGTATTGTTTCCAGCATGATTTTCAACTTAAACAGATATTGTGATGAATAATATTAAAGATTTGGGCTTTATTCTTTTGTACATTAAGATGCTTTCATTTTCCGATGCATCACGGGATAGAGGTCATCTCGTGAGTGAGGAAAATGGCCGCCGATCAAGCTTCTGTTTCTGTTTCTGCCAGATTTGCCGATTCTTCCCAGTCTGCGACCAACGTTACGGCCACGCTGACTCTCAGGAATGGAGTTAAGCAAGAGTTTCGGGAAAGGGTGTCGGAAGGAGGCGCCGTACCCAGGCTTAAAGACGTGAGAGAGTCGCTGAAAGCGGTGAGGAGTGCCTCCCAAGACGTTCTGAATCAAATGGTGGAAGGAGAAAGAAGTCAACAATCATCAAACCTACAAAAAAATACCACCAACGGAGA